AAACGACGTTTGCTCTCATAAGCTTGGGTTTAACTTATAGACTAGTGAGCCGGAATTCACTGGTATACAAGGTTAATTTTAATATCTTTGTGTCAATACTAGTGAGAAATAGTTACAACGTACAACGTCTTAATGTCAGATAGATTTGTTATTATTTCTCAATCATGATTAGATGATTTTTTTTCATCAGAGTAGGTGATGAATGTTGCTGAGCTCAGAAACTTCATACGATTTGACAGTATACTTGCATACACTTAAAGTGAAATGGAAAATCAAAGAGAAGTATTTTATCACGGCAAGATTTGAGTTCATTGTTTGTTAAAAAAGTACAGTAAATTGTAATAAGTATAAACAAAATTTCCGATTCTATTTGTTTCAAAAACGTACCTTGGAAATGATGGTATTTGTATATCATCATTTAGGCTAAACTATCAATATTAGACATTTTATAAGTTACTTGGTTTTGAATAATATCTGACTTGTAAGCAAACCGGTTAATTTTCTTTTCTTATGTAAATAAACTTAAAAACACTTATGTGATTAGTTATGTAATTAGTTATTTTACAATGACCAGAGCTTAAACCGGGTTGGTGGATGGGAGTTGAAAATTCCGACTCCATATGGAGCCCAGGATCCTAAACCAATGTGTCTAATGCTGGTCACTGGTTACCGTGAAACTGCATCTCCTAACCATTCTCCATTGCTTTGTGGTTGGAACTTTTAAGTCAAAAACTCGAGAGGTGCTCCACAAAAAAATCTCCTGCTTCAGTTTGACCACGTAGACAGTATCACAGTGCACTCACAAATTCAGTGGTTTGTGTTGCGTAAAAAAATTTAGATGCTCCATTTTAGCAATAATTATGTGTTTAAATAAACGAGTTTGCGAAGCTAAAATACGTAGCTCAGTGCTCGATTTTAAACTCTCAAAGAAACAGACCACATTTTATTGTATTATGTAAATTATATACAAATATTACCATAGGCGACTGAAATTTATTGTCAGTGATATAGAACCTCAGATAAAACTGGAAGTGATTTTCGCCATCTGTTGACGCAAAATTGAATAAACTGAGGCATATTAGGCGTTCGCTTCATTTCAGGTTCATGCTCCTATTTTATTTACTATCCTTCAATTTACAAAGGATTATGATGAAATGAAACAAAAAATTCTATAACTCAAGTTTTCAACATCATTGATGTACTGCTCACCTCACCCCCATATGGTGCGTAAACTCTCAGCTTCAAACTCCACATGTTACAACATAACATATTCGAGGTAAATATATTGTGAAGTCGGATGCTGAAATCAAACCTGACAGCTTTTATGAAACACATTTTAACATTCATATCAGTATAACATATAGTACACCGTGAAACAAAACAGGTTATATAGTTAAAGAGTGATATAATTGCAATGCTTGATTAAAAATAGGCTTGAAATGAATATAACTCTAATTCTAAAATAAGTTTCCTAAACACTGTATTTCCCCCATAAGTTTTGTCCACCGACTAAAAGCCGAATGAAAACTTATCGAACTTCAGTAAAATAAGATAACTTAGCTATGGCCAACACGAATTGCCTTATAACCATGTCACTGATGCATAAATACAATAACATATAATTTACGACGTGAATAATTGACGTTAAACTAAAACTCCATTAACGTAACAAGCATTGGATACTTAATTCTACATAAATAGACATAATTAATAAACAAAACGGTGGAGTTTGTAGATTATTATCAGTATTCCAGAAAAAGGACTACATTTATTCACGTATACTTAAGTTCGTGTTTAAGATTCAACTATCATCAATAGATTGAGTCATACAGAAGAAGCTTGATTATAATGCCTGTATTCAATATTTCGGCATCATTATTTTATCCTAGTAATATTTTTCATTTTCAAAATTATTTTTTATCAATGCATCAGCTTTAATTCGACTGATTTTTCTATCAATTCGTTCTCAAATCATGAAATAGTGATGACATCTGTGACATATGAAATGCCGCTTTGTGTTTGTCATTACGCGATTCTTTCGTTTATAAAGAGGTATTGATTTGATACTTTAGTAGAGGAGAATTAAAACAATGACTGGAATATGATGAGAAAATTGTATATATAACTTCCCCTGCTTCCGAAGATCTTTAAAAATCAATATTAAATAAATACTCTACTGTAAGTTGAATATAGAGTTCTATTTATGGCTTATGTTTACAATAGATTTAGGGAACTAGAAGCAATTTATAAAGACCACAATAATTCATAGTACAATGAAAAATACTAATTATTTTTGAGGTAAATCCATTAATCAAAATAGAACTTTTGGATGCTGACAACACCATATCAAATCTAATGTTTGGCGAAATCAGAAATAATCAATCAAACGGTGACACAGTTGTTAGATGTCAGTATAGAGACTATGCATTGTGTCCGACACTTGGACTAAAACCAAGTAATTATGCTTTATGCCTAATAACAAGGCATTAGGATAGAGGCGTTCTACCTAAACATGGTTTGGATTATTTTATTCTTTACTGTAACAACTTTAAAAAAGCAAACAGTGCACTAAAGTTTTTCGAGTGTCACAATGAATGTTTGGTGTGTATGGTGTATATCTCAGCATAGCAAAGACAATCATATATCTTGTAGAAAACTCATTTAACTTTGGATTCATGACATACTTTCGAAAGGGCATTCAATTGTTATTTCTGATAGGCCGTAAGCTGTTGATAAATCTTTTATTATGATCATTATTTCAACGAATTTGAACATTTACAATTCACTTCTTATATAAATTGTTTACAGCTATCATTATAATCGTTTAGTAATGCATAGGGTACAGATAGATTTTGAATGCTCACTGCAAACAAATCAAACTTGAACTTTATAAATTAACAGCTGTATGAATAAACTGGAAGATTCTAATTGGTAAGACTTTATTGACTTGCTTTAATTTAAGAATGTATTGAAAAACTGTTTACTTTAGTTGATTTTTCAAATTAAAACTTGCATAAGAAATGTTATTATAAAAAACAAAATGTAAACTGATATAAGTAATATAATGCGAGAATTATTGTAGATTGTCGTTCGATATCAAAAAATGTAAACAAAGTTTGTTACAGTTAAACTCTTAGAATCACTACTGAGTAGTTAGTGATTTTAGGAATGCTGAAATACTTACACACTATATAAAAGTCGTTATGTTTATCATAAATTTAGTTAAGTAAAGAGCATTATTAAAAAAAATATTCCCTTTCAAGGAATTATCTTTAACAATTTTTTTTATGATCAACACGATTATTAGAACTATGTTAACTAATTTCATCACTGTTAGCAACTCAAATTTATCATTAGAGTATTTTCGCCTGATCGCTTCATCAATAATTAATTTGTACCATGTGAATAATATTTAACTATTCATATAAACAAATATATGTATACAAACACATGAGATAATTCTTTCTCCTGGAATATATGTTGACAATTGAACTAATATTGATTGATAATCAATTTGAAACGTTAACATCGACAATATCAATGATATAATTGAATACACATTCAACTAGTATTTATTCATTCTTCATTTATGAATACAATGAAACTAGAAAAAAAACATTTATCATTGTGCGACCTAATTCGATCAGCAATACGTGCTACAACATAAACTGAATTATTTGTTCACTATTTACTTTTACATTTAATTGAAATCAAATTAAAAAATATTTTGTAGAGTCTATTTAAATATATATGTAAGTCAAATAAAAAGCTTCGGAATTCAATGAAAAGAAAGAGAAAGCTAGTAAATGTACAATGAACCGTCGTTATGAAACATCAAGACAAACAAAAAATAAGGGAAAGGAATGTCCAGAATGTGACCCTAACTAGATTCATTGTAATGGTTTAATCAATATCTAAAGATACATATCCTATTACACAAGAAATGAACAATTATTCATAAGAAATGATTTTAAGGAGTTTAGCTTAGAAAATAAATGGATAAATGTGTGTGGATTACTTTTCTGAATTAATTTTATATTTAACTTGAGATGGATGACTTAATTTCAAAGAAGATATAATTTGCATTTAACAAATTAGGAAAATTTCACTTTACAAACATGAAATTTATTTACAAGTTTTGTTACATTCATCCCTTTCAAAATTAATTACACCATTCATAGGTAGGAATTTTTGTCTTAAAACAAAATTAGTTTGTTCATCGATTCATTTTGAAACGGATTTATTTTTTATTTAGAAGTTACAGGCGATAAGATAGGAATGTGTAAATTAGTTTTAGTTCATTTTAAAAAAAATTAACGCATCTATTGTGTGCAATCTTTTATTTTTTGAAATATTTCCAGTGTGTTTTAAATTCACATGTGAATTGTTTTGGCGGGGGAAAGATTAGAATAACCTTCAAGTAAATAACCAACTTTGAAATCTGTTAGACAGCTGCTTATCTATTATATCAATAACCAATGATTTATTATTGTGCAATGGAACTGTGTCACTATGTTAGCTTTTAATGATGTAGTTTTTACTAAATTACTATGTCGACGATAATTGAAACGTAAGATAATAATCAGTCTAAACGACTTTATAATTAGTTGCGCAAGAACATGATGAATACTGTTATTTAAAATATGAATTACAGTTGAGAAAGAAAGATCGAACAAATGTTAACACCGTCAATAGCTGGTATAATTTCAGAAAAACCGATTGTGATCCTAGATTTTCAGTCAATGAGAAAATGATTTGTGAATAAACCACTCATTAACGGTATTTGGAGTTGTTGTTCATAGAAGAAACTATTTCCTTAGCAAGCAATTCTCTAGTAAATCGTGCAAATAGAATGTCCATACAGTACACTTTCTGTATGTATAATGAGTAAGAACCAGACAAATTTTAATTAGACACTGAAAATTTCAACTTCACATATTACTAGAAAAGTGCACTCAAAAATATTTAAACAATCATTATATATATAAAAATACACTTACACAACGATTTTATGATTTGATTTGTTAAAAATGCAAAAAAAATAAAAATGTCCAATGTAAATGTAGTAATATAAATAATCCACTAGTCCAATTCATAGGCATCAAATAATGTTACATGCTGAAACAGTGAAAACATCAATTGTTAGCAGTGAACTTTTGTCAAATTTACATTAGAATAAATTCCATTTTAACATAAATGCTATTTATTTAAGTATAGCATGTCAGTAAGATGTATTATTATTGGTACAAATTGTTAGGCATAAAAAAGCATTCTACTGGTCAAATATTGTCTTACTTAATGATTGGACAGTCATTTTTTTCCTATATATATATATATATATATATATATAAACTAGTGAGAGTGATTACTGTCAACTTGTCTACTCTAATATTTCATCGACGAATATAAAAATTTTATCTTAAAACCAATAAAACCATCACAAAACTTGGTATTGTACAAAAATTTTTTATATTAGTTTATAAATTATTCACATAATTACTTGAATTCAGTTTTATACTCTTAATTAGATTGATATTTTTCATTGAATTCATATTTGATTATTAAGGAGATCTTATCGATATTGGTGGTATCCTTTATGTGAATATTATTTATTAATTGATATATCATTAACTTAGTAGTCTGAATGAGTATTAAATGAGAAATGATAAAAATCCTTTTAATTTTGTATTAAATATTATGAAGTTGATAAATTCTTTCTTAGAGTACATTAAAAATGTTAATAAATTAACTCAAACTCACTTTAAGCAAATAAAATATGTACACTATTGTTAGAGGGTATCTTATATATATATATATATATATATATATATATATAGGGCGAGAAAGTGACATGTGTTCTAGTCTGTCTTTTACTCTTAACTGATTTTCCCTGTCTTGTCTTAAAAAACATTAAGCTTCAAATATGACAAACAATGAATTTGTGAATTGGAAATATTAATTTAATGAAAGGCATGTTCTCTTTTGTAATGCAATTGTTTTTAAATTTTCCGATAACATGTATTCCATATATTGATTTCGTGTTATTTGTTATCTTTTTTATTATAGTGTTCAGTTTTTTTTAAGAACTGTCACATAATTTTTTGTATTTTTCAATCAATTCAACATTATTTCTGATCACTAAATAAATCGACCATATATTCGTTTAACTGAGTTTAATTATAAACTAATTAGGTTGAAATTATTTCAAGCCATTCATTTTATTTACATATTTAATATGTAATTTTGATTCATTTTTAACTAATCATCATGTCATTTATGGATTTAATATTTTCACATACTATAGTTTAGTACTTTTGTTTGTGAACCTGGTACCATCATAAACCGTTCATATTAACCTTGGTTCAAAGTAATAATCACCTCAAAGTTCGTTCACTTTTAGAAGTTAGATCATCCGTTAATGAAACAGTCATAACATTAAGCTAATTATCGTATTAATCCATAGATCACGTCAATCATTGTAATAATGAACAATTTTTCACAACTTCCCCGTTCAATGTATGATTCTCATAAATAATATGTTTTCAAGTTGGTCAATTCTTTACAAGCAAACTTAAGTTAAAGTCGTTTTTAATTAATAAAAAAGAACTAGACAATTATTTTTAAGGAAAAAAAAAATGAAAAATCAATTCTAAATGCTATCAAGAGAATCATTTTCAGCTTGAATGATGAAAACTGATGATTTATTCCTATTAATCAACTAATTCACAACTTTACTAACAACACTCGATCCACTTAAGCTACTCCATCATCAAACACATGACTAAACAATGCTTTTCATAATTGATATTTAAAATTTCCAGTGAATAAAAGTGACATAAAAAGAAATAACAAATTTGCTTTTATTTAATTACATTGAATGGTCCTAATACACAAGTAGCAGAGATCAGTTAATATATCTGGTCAAAAAACACAAATTTGTTCTTTTATCTGTGACAGAAAAATTATAAGGAATTCCTTGTTAGACAATGTATGTTTGCATTTTTTTCTTTAACTAGAATATTTCCCAAATTTACGATTCATATTGACAAAAGAAATTAAAACATTGTTAAAAAGTAGCAGGAAAACATTGATAGAGATAATATCAAATACATAACTAAGTTAGATATGTCTGTTTATTTCAGTACTTCTGTCATATACTATTTGTAAGATGTGCTTATGTATTCATTGAATAATCAGTGACTTACATAAAAGGTATATTAATCAATGTCATCAAAGTACTGTTCTGTGATCTATTTTGGTGTAACTAGAATTATCCGCCTGTCGTCATTTATCTCAGAGTCAAAACAAGTAGACCCATCAGCCTTTTTTGGAATATCAGAATTTTGTTGTGGTTGAAAATATGTGGAACGTACACACGGTTGTCAAAGCAACAATATCGATCAGTAAGGAGGTATTTTTTGCTCTTTCATCTGTCAATAACGTGATGATATCAGTTTGTATGGTATAATGCGAATTTAAAATGAACTTCTGTACAACAGTTTCATCTAATTTTAATATCACCACTTCCTAAATCATGTGCTCATGTTTCACGTGAAAATTTACTGTCTTAGAATGTTTTCAACCTAATATAGATAAGAAAGTTTACAAACAAAGTCATACAGACATCCAGAAATTTATCTATTCCTTTCTTAGTAGCTGAAGTTCACGATGAGAACTACTGAATCCCTTTTAGCTGGCTATAAATCTCGAATAAAAAATATTTCAGTCCATTTAAGCCGACTATTCTTACACAAAGTAGAGCTGTAAATATTTCTAGTGAAGTTAAATGCTCAAAACAGTAACGTTTGAAAGATATTACGTTCAATCGACACATGATATTGTGGAACTCTGATAATCAAGCTGCTATAAGTGAAAAAGTCGAATAAAATACACGTAATTATCAATTTTCTTTAAAAATAAACTCTAAGTTATCATGACATTTGTTCATTTTCATAACTGATATACATCATATTGTTCATTCAATATAGCTAAACCTCAATTTGTCTACTTGGTCAAACGCACAATAAAAGCCATGACGTTAAAAAAAACATTCTGTTTAACGAAAGAAATTTCTGTCTGTAATACATTTTTTCAAATTAATTTGATTTGCCGAAATCCACTTTCTACACTTTATAATTATAGATATATAGTGTTTAAATCAAAAATGACGTAAGATATTTGGACATAATTTTGGTTTATTTCTTTTAACTTATACTGAGTGATTTTTTATCATTTTCATTTCTATTGTTGGAGGAAACGATCCTATTCTATTTTATATTATAGTCAGTATATAGTTTTGATAATTGCAATATAACTTTCATATTGATTAAAGATATCACTTACAATTAAGTACAAACAATAAAACTTAAATCAATAGTTGACTGTTGATTAGCAACTTAATGAAACGAGGTGTAAGACTAGACGGATAGTTTGTTGAGCAAAATGTGCACATCTTATCTTCAAACATCCATTCGCAACACCGCAAGCGGATTGTTGGCTGTCTTCTTCCATAAGTCTTTTAATCTTTAAAACGCTGATCGCATCACAAATCCGAACCCGGCGCTCGTCTGTGCATCGACAGCATACTACTCATAAGCCATGTCGTGGGTAGTATACAACACACAATGAACAACTACCTTACACCAAAGTGAATAAAAAATATAATATATCATATCAGGAAGCCATTTTCCTAAGTAACTTACTAGAAACTCAAACTCAATATCTGTAAAATGCATTGTAGTTGAAATACTAGAACTCAGTTATTTAAAATTTTGTGATCCCAAAACTGAAAGTTTACTTTTTTTTCTTAATCAGCAAGTGGTAAAAATGTCCATAACAGATAATAGCAGCTGGTATTTTAATGACCGTTAAAATAGTAAATACTTTTCTGAAAAATCTAAACCCCCTCAACTAAACACTGTGAATTTTAATTCATTAAGATTGATTACTGGATTACTACAGTAACTAGCTACCTGACTGAAACTTTCAGTGATACTTCACTTAGAGATAATTGGAATCACTTTTCAAATCTACAGTTAATTTCATCATAAAATCGTATTGTTTTTATTACAAAGACCTCACTAATCATTAGTCTCTGTTGACAAACAACCGTTATCTCATATCTTATAAAACAAGGAAATTGAATTAATTTTACGAATTTATGCTTTTACGCACCCAGGTTTTAAGTCAAACTAATGGTACCAACAAGTTGGATAAGTTGGTGCAGCGGGGTTCAAGTGTTAGTGATAGCAATATTTATAAGCCAGACGTTTGATAAAATATGTTAACAAAATGACGAATGATATTAGAAAAAAAGCAGACTGATTTTCATTCACATTAACACTGGAATAATTTACTTCGGTTCGTTCAACGGTTAGTTCATAGATAAACTAATAAAAGGATATTTGATTGATTTCTTATCATTTCATAATTATCGATACACTGAATGACATATTTTCTGAATAGTCAGTCTATAATGAAATAACAACATCATGAACATCGTCACTGTAATGGCGAACTTATGTGTGCTATAAGAATATATGTTATTATACTCGGTATATGCATACGAACAGCACATATGAACATGTTTGTTACAGTAATTTTTTCCTTATGCCGATCTTTAACCAATAAAGTCGTCAAGGAGGAAATTTCCTCACGTCAGTCATTCACTATATTCTCCAAAGTTTATAAATAGGAAAATGCTCTGATAACATCCAAAACTAGAACTTTTAGTTTAATGATAACGGTCAATATATATGTATTTGGAAAAACCTATTCTCTCTAGGCTAAGCACAAAGCGAACATAGCTCAGTGAGTTAAACGCGAACCATTTATATGTTGATATTCAATACCTTTTATTTTACCTAAGTATTCAAAATTTAAACACAAGGATGAGATTTTGAAGGTAGAAATAGACACGAAATATATTTCACATATTAAAAAATGTTTCGAAATTCACAACAGAATTTGTTATCTAATATTCATGAAATTGTTTCATAACATTCTCATTCATTATTCAACCACTACATGTATCATTGTGCATACAAATCCGATTTCAAATGTGTAATTTAAAGGTGTCAAATATACATGAACATGTAAAGATGAATATTCAAAACATAGTTTGTTAATTTGATTACAAAATTGTATCAACATGAAGAAAGTCACGATAAGTTCCTTATTG